TAGGTTTTATGGGGAAAAAAATATTTCCATTAAATGTATCCATAACTTTCAGTGGCTCTTGAGTGAATTTTTACAATTGATGTTGATACATTTGTCATGGAATATTCTAGTGTACAGGTGGAAACAGATGATACAGTATTACTTTTTTTTTTTTTTTTTTTTTTTTTTTTTTTTTTTGTGACAAAATGGTATGCAATGCATTGGAAGATTATTTATCCATAGCAGTTATATGAAATGCAAATGTCATAACACAGATTACATTTCCATAAAACCAAAATAACACTTCAATGTATGTGATTTAGTTTTACTGTGCACATTTTTATTTAGCAGAACTGACACATTGCTTCATATTTGAATCATTTTTTTTTGCCTTTCACATTGAACAAAAAGGTGAAGAACTATTTCAGGGTACAGTAACTATTTCAGTGCCGGCAGTCTCTCAACAGTCTTTTGCAGTTTAATAAAAATATTTTCTTGCTCTTTTATTTCTAGTGCTAAAAGAAAAAAAGGGGTACATAGGCCAAACAGTTAATCTTCTTCCTGCAGTTCTACTGTGAAAATCTTGCCTGTCAGAAACCTTATTTTCAGCTAGTTCTTAGAGAAAAAGAACTAGGAAGACAGAAAACAAAAGGAAGTGGTAAAGAGACTATGTTTATGACATCATCTATTCTTTATTATCCACCCGAATCAATTAATTAAGATGATTAAGTACTTAAACAGTTTCGTGTCCAGTTCCTGGGATACTTTAACTGAAACATTTCTCAACACATCTAAATTCTGAGAATACAGGAAAGAACTGGGAAGAGCATGAGCATATTTCATAGGTGGATAATCATCCAGTGGAGTACAAGTCTCTTCTTCTTTGGATTATTTAGTCAGTTGATTACTGACTTAAAAGAAGGAAACAAAACAAAACAAAATAAAAACATAAATGGGACCATTCATCCTCCCCAGATCTCTGGTAGTTTACTTATTTGATTTTGCATTTTTTGTTCATTTATTATTATCATGTGCTCACATATGTGGGTAATGAACTCATTTAGTTAGGATGTCAACAGGGTACAAAAAGACGGCCCTTTTCACCAAGAATTACAACAACCTAAGTGGAAGATGAGAGGCAAAAGTTAAACACAGACAGAAGTTATTCCAGGAAAGACAAAATTCCCAGTTTGGTTAGCAGAGATCTCAGCATACTTCAGACCTCATTGTACTGGCTGTAGGATGCCTTGGACTCTAAGGCACCATGTATAGCTGTGAGGATCACTAATATGCCATTGCTATGTTCTTGTCTATCTGTCAGATAAGAAACTAACATGAATTATTATTTAATTTCTCTCTGCAATCAATGCAGAGGTATAAATACTGCCGGGTTGTTATCATCTATCTTCAGACACCCCTGGAGGAAGATACATTTCCACTGATGAGAGGGGTGAGGAACTAGCTTTAGCCAGCTAAAATGTGAACAAGTCCCATCTTGTGTGTGCTGTCACAGAGCTGGCAGTCTTTTTTTTGTTTGTTTGTTTATTATTATTATTTCTACACCTGCATAACTTCATCCTGTTAGTATTCATATCCAGAACACTTGGCATGCACTGGTATTTAAAACTAAATTACTGTTAATCATCTGTAACACATCAATAGTAGCATGAAGTGCTACTTTGTGGGTTAACAATGGCTGCTGAAAATGGAACTTGATTTTTCACTGTATCTGACTGTGGCATGAGAAAAGTGGATTCTAAATGGTTGTGATACAATAAAGTGTCTGTGGACTAGCTGAGACTGTAAATTAGCATTTCTTTGGTAAATAATTGTGTAGTAGCCTGTAAACCATGCTAATCATTGTATCTTTGTAATTCAATAAAGCATATACAGCACATGCAGGTGGTTCTTACTTTTGTATGGGCAGTATTGTTTTAGTATTGTACCTAGGTATGTATCCCATGAACTCCTGGCTTTCTCATCAACCAGATTACTTGTTTACTGTTACTTTTTAATTCTTTTCACTGATTGATCATATCTGTTATGTTTTGCTATAAACAGCATGTGATATAATTGATGTCTATTATCATTGTTATTATTTTGTACAACAAAAATTGCATGTTACTCTTCACTTTTTCATGGCAATTTCATTTCCATTAGTCAAGGATATGTCAGAGATGGAAAAACATGTGATTGCACTACAATAAACCACTAGATATGTATCTGTGTTTTTGTTGTGGGTTAAGCAGTCCAGAGTGACTACAAAACTTTCCAAATAGTGATGTTAGATGACTAGACCATATAAAGAAGGTAATTTCAACAAGTTATAAATGTCAGGAGAAAAAACATCTCCTCGGTGCTGTGTAGTTTGCTGAAAGGGATCTGCAAAGGTGTGCTGGTCATGCAGTCATTTCCATTGAGATACATGTGAATTTTAATAAAAACAGACAAGCCTCTCAACTGGGGTTTGCAGGCAAACTACATAAAAGCATTGGATGGAAATCAGAAAAAGAGCTGGATACTTGCGCTTAGCATGCCTGGAAATATGTTAATGTACTCCTATGTAAATTGACTTAATGGAGAGAATGGAAAGTGTCCAGCTACAATAGCTAACTTGATAAATCTCAGCACACTGTTCAGCCTGGCTGACCTAAAAGAAGATAAATTCAGTGAATAACCAGGATGAACAACATTACATGGTCTTCCAGAGCAAGGCTCCAGCAAACTGGTGTTTGGGCTGCTATATGCCAGGCCACGCACACACTACCATGAGACAAAATGGTGATTTTTGAAAAGATAGTTTGTGGGCCTGCTCTGATTCTATGTTATTCTCTGGTGTTTTCTAGTGGGCAGACTTGGAGGCTGCTGGCTTGTGAGAGCGTGGCTACAGCACCATGAAATGGAGCACCTGCCCCCAGTCCCCTCAGCGTGTGCAGGCCCAGGCCTGTGTGTGGGAACCTGTGGCCGTGTCCTCTCTGCTGAGGCAATCAAGGGTGCTGTCTGGGAGCACACCCGTCCCCTGGCACCTGCCAGGTGTCTGTCAGACCTCAGCCATTACCGGGCTGCCTCAGCCCTGCACTGCCCCACTGCTGGATGTGAGGCAGACGAGGCACTTCACCTCAGTCTGTGTCCTGAGGTGGTGCCCAGGCCTTCCCACTGCGCCAAGGGGTGAGTGTGAGGATGGAGGCACATCCTGTCTTGTCATGGAAGGAGTGGGGATGGTTTGCAAGAAGCATGTTTTGGGTGAGCAGTGGATGCAAGCCATGAGTACAAGCCCCTCAGCTTTCCTACCACCTAGGGCTTGCCCTGCTTAAAGATTTCAGGGCAGGATGTGTCCCAGAACCCAAGCTGGAGAGTGAGTTCTCCTCACCAGATAGGGCCTCCACCATTGTGCCAGTGAGTCAGGGTGGCAAAACCAGGTTCTGAACACACAGAAAAATACACAGCCTGTACCTTCTGTTGGCCACTGTTCACGAGTAATATTTCTTCCTTTGCTTTTGTGTTTTCCGAATCAGTGCAAAGAGATCGCAAGGGATGTAAAAAGGAGAATCTAAGAGCTGGAATTTGTGCCATATGCAAGGGTGTTTTGCATGCTTCCCTCTTTGGAGGGCAAGGGATTACATGCTTAAACTAAAAGAGGCTAGGTTTAGATTATATAAGGAAGAAATTCTTCACTATGAGGGTGATGATGCACTGAAACAAGTTGTCCAGAGAAGTTGAGGATGCCCCATCCCTGGAGGTGTTTAAAGCTTCCCTCAGCCAACCTGTTTATTTGGGGGAAGGAGGGAAGAAAGGGTGGGTGGGGAAAGGTTCCTCTGGCTTCTGAGGGAAGCAGGAGAGCTGGCTGTAACTGTGGCAGGTCACTTGAGCTACCTGTATTTAGTTTTCTGTCAGAAAACAAAACAAAACAAACAAACAAGCAAACAACTATAAATATTTACGTTGGCTTAGGTGAGCTATTGAACTAGCATGGGGGGAGGAGTCACTACAAACAAGGAATACAGTTCATGAAACATAGGTTTCTGAGTAGATGTCTGCTGCTGTTCTTTGGTTTTATGTAAGATGGATTTCTGGCAGTAGTTGCAGAGGGCAGGGAAGAAAAACATGAATATTGATTACTCTTTTAGGAGAAGAGGGTCATTTGTTAAATGTAACCTAAAATTTGATTGTGGGGGAATAGGTTAATTTCAAAGAGTAATCTCCCACAAGAAGAACAAGAAGAAAATGAGTGACTATCTTTCATTAAATCTTTGTTTGAGCCCTCAATACCAGTGCTTAATTGACAAGGACTTGGATAAAAAACAAGCACTAAAAGGTTAAAAAGCTTTTAATTTTGTCTTAGACACTATTGCTTTAATGCAGCACTAAACTTTCAGCTCAGTGTGAGTTTGAAAACCTGGCTTATTTTGCACAGGAGCAGAGAAAAAGTTACTGTTACTGTGAGGAATATCTATCATAGTCTAATATTTGTTTGTTTGTTTGTTTGTTTCCCAACTAATTAGGGTTTGATGGTAATATTTAGTCATATCATAGAACGAAATTAGAAATATGGTTCTATATTCATTGCTAGTGACTTTGCTGTTGACTCATCTTGCAGTGCACATTTTATCTTGGATAGACTCATCGTCTCCACAGTGAGTGCTGAGGCACTCATGGCAGCTTTATGTCTTTATGCTACAGGTAGAGTTAATTCATGACAAAGTTAGAACAGTGTGGACATCTGATCCTGGAACTAGGATCTATTGCTGTAAGGCTTGGGGAAAAAAAAAAGACCGTCTGAGAAAACTTAAAACACTTCAGGAGTTTGAATCATTCAGCACTTGTGATCAAACACTAGGTGCCTTAAAACTGAGTTGATTACTGCCTAGAACCAGCTGAAGATCTGATTGCAGCTGCTTCAGATCTTCTTTGTTCCCTGCTCTCCTTCCCCCTTGCAGATGTGTGTTACATGGGCAGAATTTGTAATTATGTCTGTGTCAGTCAGGCAGTTTATGCTCGTTGCTGCAGTATTCCAGGTGATGGGACACATGGGCAGATAATTTTTTTATTTTTTTATTTTTTGCCAGCTGATCAAAGAAGGAGTGATTTCCCTTCGTACTGCAGTTTCCTGTAGAAGCTGTGGTGTGTTTTACCTGGCAGAGCCTCATTGAGAGATTGCAAGTTTAGCATCAGTGCAGTTATACTTGTTGAAGAGTTGGCTTATGTACAAGTGTCTGCTGTGTAAGTTATTCTAGTATTAGAGTACTTCGTCATGAGTGAATTTTTTCTGCTCTTCTAGCTCTTCCGCGTTTATGAAACAGACATGTGGAATAAAGATACAGGTAACTTTTAGCTACTTTTGAGATTCTCCATGTTGTAAGTCTCTATATAAAATGTTGAAATTAACTATTAATTATGAGTTGTTTTAGGTATTAATATAAATTTTAAAACTTTGAATTTCTTTTTAGTTTTCGTTTTCTCTTTATATGCAATGTGTTCTGCATTCTGATACTCCATGCTGATACCTAAAAATAACACTGACTACAAATGGAACCGTGTGCAGGTTTGTTACGTGTTTTACTCGAGGTGTTGCACTTCTACATATAAGAGATATTTTTGGAATAGCTCATTGAAGGACAAAAATGGTGCAATAGCTTAATTTATAAAGTGTAGTAAAAACCAATTGAAGTCTTGATATTTCTGTCATCTGGAGAGTATGTGGATGGCTTTACCATTTCCTGGGAAGTTTCTGGCAAATATGCTGTAGACTGTGATGATGTAGGCTGCATCTTGAGGATAAATTAGCAACTACTGTTATTTTCTTAGCCATATGACTGCTAATGTGACCTAAACTTTTTAGGTTTAAACCTAAACTTTTAGGTTTAAAGTTTGTTTTTCATTTTCTCTTTAGACACAGGGATATGGGAAGGGTGGTGATTGTTCTTGCTCATTTTTCCAAAAATAATGTTTCATGGGAGTAGTTTTTATGGTCTTGAAGTTGTCAATACAATTTCTAACGGATGAGGTGAGGGTAATATTCATCTTCTGAAGCTTTTGATGCAGGAAATAGGCAACTTCATCAAATTTATTTTAAATTGCATAGCATATATTCAATGGTTCTCTAGACTTCTATTTTAGAAGTTAGTAACAAACTAACGTTTAACTTTCATATTCTCTGTCCTTACCGGCTTGGCATTCTTGGCATTTATTTGATATGGACTGTTGGGATTTCACAAAATGCAATGACTGTTTGTTCTTGTGTGTTTATTGTTTTCTTTTAAAAGACATTTTTTGAGGGGGTAAAAAATAAAATCCCTGCCTTCAAATTTTGTGTGATACTTGAGACTTCCTGACTAGCAACAGTCCCTGCTTAGTGGGATGTAACACCTGGCCAGAAATAATTAGTGAGATAATGCTGCTGATGAGCTCCTGGGTGCTGTGATGTATGACTTCCTTATTTTTGTAGTTCACTTGATGGTCTCTGTACAGTTCTTCCTTTAGCAGAACTGCTTTCCCATTAAAAACTTTGTCAGCCCTGTTCTTTGTGCAAATAATGATGACATTTGGAAAAGAATCCGTAGTGACCCAAGATTATCCAGAACTTCTGTGTAGCCATGGGGACAGCAGTGATCCTGTGACTTGGGAGGGAAAAAGAAAAAACAGCCTGTACTACTTGTGGTGCTAGAGAACTTGTAGGCAAGTGTAAATGTGCAACATATATCGTACACAGCCGAACTCTTCTTCTATTCAGTTGGATAATGTATTTTTTAGCTTTTGTCTTAATAATTATAATTTTGAGGAGTGATATGCTTAATTTCTAAACTTCTGTACCATATTTCTGAATTCTTTTAGTGTTTAGTTCTCAATTTCTTGCTGTTGCATGGTTATATGTCGACACTGTTGACTGCTGTGACAAAGGCTATTAATGCTTCTAATCAGTAAAACTATATTTCTCAAACTTTCAGGTTTGTCTATTTGTTCATGAGTTTAGATCAATAATTGTTTAATTGCTTGACAATTTTGCAGAAATTCCAGAAGCAAAGCGTGAATTGAGTGGTTTAGAATGTGTGACAAAGCTGGCATGTGATGAATCTGTCCGCTGGTATTTCATTATCAAGCTAACATAATGTTCTTTGTAGTTCAGAAGACACTTATGATAAGTATTTCTGTGACACATGGTATTTCAAACAAAACCTTTCAATGGTTCAGAACATAGCATTTAGAAAATATATATTTTTGGTAAAATTTATATTAAATACTTCAGCTGATTAGTTGCTGAGTTCCTGATTCAACACAGATAAAAGAAACTTTTTTGTCAATGTAGATTATTTGATTTGGACCATAGCAAGGGAGGATGACAGACTCTAAAGTGGCAGAAGTTTTAGTATACTGCATATCAAAATATGTCAAATAAGAATAGCTATGTTGGGAATACTGGAATGCTAAGCAGTTTCCAGATGTATGCTAACTAGATTGTGAACAAGATGGCAGCATAATCTGTGTGGCTTTTTTGACAGGCAACAGAAGAGATACTTAACTTGTAATCTATAAAAGTACATAATTTGGATCTTAAAATAAGTGACCTCTTTGTTTTCCTTTAGTGAAGTAGAGAAAGTAATTTCTTCAACATGTATTTGCTTCTGTTGTCTTAATAGAAGTTAACCTCTGGAATTTTTGTACCTGCTGATGGTTAATGCAGAAAAGGCTTCTCTTGCTCATGCAATGTTTGGTGTTGCTCTATTGCTCTGCTACTTTGCTATAATTTACTTAACTCACACTGGTCAGAAAATCAACCATAATGTATTATGGTTCATAAAACTCAAACCAAATCAGTCCATAGTAGTCTACAATCTTCATCACAAACTATTTCTCATCTTCTCATCTTCATCTTCTTTGAACTGGTTAAAGAGAGGATTCTTCTCTGATGAGTTTATCCATTCAGCCTGCTAAAGAACCGCTCAGTAAGGGGTGACAGGGAACAGAATTTGCTTGTAGAGTCATGAAAGTCTATTTGTATCTATGAAGATGAATAAAAGCCTGGAGGAATTAAATTCTTAGTATTTTCCATTTAGGGTTTTATTTTTAGTTTGAAAAGTATAGGAATTAAGTTATTTTTTCTCCTGGGATAGATAGGAATATCAGTCTTCTGTCTGAGTCCTGCTGTCCCAGAGGAAGATAAATGCTGACCACTTCTAAGGAAATAATAATTTGTTCTAAACAAAGAAAATTTTTTATTTGTAAGCACAAACTTCAGCATTTTTGTTTGTTTGTTTGTTTTTATTGTGAGAGTATGACAACTAGAAGGCCACAAGCATGAATTGCCCTTTATTTATGACTTGTATTACGTTCTTGCACTAACGTAAATTAGTTATTAATTACATTGAGGCTAAAAAAGATAGCACTTTGCACAGTCTTTTCACATTAAGACTGATTACAAAAGTCACCTGAAAAAGTAAGACAAAGTGAAGCTGCTGTTAAAGCTATTTTAATTGGTACTAGCTATCTCTAGGAAAAGAGTAAGAAGAAAGGGCCTGGGATGAGCAGAATACTATGCTCTAGGCTCAGTTCACATACAGGTAAAAATACATTCTCAGGAAACATGAGGGAAAAGAAGGCATGCCAAAACAGCTGGGGTTGTTACTTTTCCCTGCCTCTACTTTCATGCTACAAAGAACTCCTCCACCTGGACTGCTATGATGTTCTACAACAAAGAAATAGTTGCATTTTATTGCACCATTAAATATCTTCTCTTAGTACTGCAGTCCAATGGGTGGCAAGCCAAGGGGTATCACTGTGGTGGCTTTTCTGTTTCCATAGATGTGCTTATCTTATGAGAGTAGCAATTAACAGCCTAGAGATACAGGAATAAATAAACTTTGGTTTTCAGGTTTTTATATTGTTTTTTTCTTTCCACTCACCTAACTTTACAAAATATTGAAGTGCTTTTGTTCACAGGGAACTAGATGGACGGGGTTATTAAGCATGTTTGGGGGTGGGTGTCATTTGATTGTGCTTCTAAAAATGTCACATTTCAATGTGAACACAAGTCTTTCTCTATAAAATTATATTATTCCCTATAATGCTTTTCTTTCTCTGATAGATTATGTTGATTTTCAATAAGCATAGGAAAAAAATCTTATCAGATTTTCTGTCTGCTTTGGGGAGCTTTGTATGTGCAACGCTTAATCTGTTGGATACTGGTATCTTGTTTCAAACTACTTTCTCTTTCTGAATTAGAAAGAAATGGTCTTACCAGTTTACAAGCATCACTTGTCTGTGATCATAATGATTTCTCATGCGGAATTAAGTCTTTGACTTTTGAGAATTCTATCACTGGTAAAACCACATGTATTCTTATTAGTACCTGGCAGATTTTTCTCAGTCACCATTCAATTTTTTATTTTTATTTATGTTTGTTCTTATCCAAGCTGTAGCTATGCTTTATCCCTTTCCTTTTTTCCTTTCATCAAAGTCTTACAGGTATTGTCACTTCTAAGAGTCTGTGCTTGTCTTCTGTTGTCAATCAAGACCTGCAAAAGAGCATGATGCATCTCAAAGTGTTTAAAGTAGGCTTAGATGAACTGGTTTGAATAGATAGGAAAGACAAAAGGTACGGCTACAGCTGCTTTATTATTATTAATTTATTATTAATAACTTTTTTACTAGATTTTTTTTTTTTTTTTTTGTGGGGGAAGCATATTCTATTGTTCAACTAAGCACAAAAGCAAAAAAAAGAAAAAAAGGAAATAGTGAAATAGTGACAAGAAAGCTATGTATCATAGTAACAACTAGAAGCTGGTACTAGAAATATCTAACCAACTAGACCAACTAGAATTTATCTAATAATTCTCTAGGAACTGAGAATTGCTGACCAGAAATTATCTTCATGGAGCTGTAGCTATATAGTTCTTTTGTGGTTCACCCTCCTTTGCACTGTAATTGCTAAGGTTCAAGAAGCCTATTATATAAAGAAACTGAACTTAATTTTAAGACATTGAAATGCATCTGAAGGAGATTAGAATTCTACTTGTTGTATTGATTGATGTCTTTAACATATTGCTGGTTGGTAAAAATACGAGTAACTTGTCTATTTTTCACAAAGACTTTTTCCTTTGTCAAAAGAATTTGACTGTGGAAATGATGCTTCTAATAATGTGTGTGCTTCATACAATTCTCCCAAGGAAGACAGAGGGGAGAGAGCTTCAGAGATCTTAAAATATTTCTATATCAAACTACAAATCTTAAAAATAAATTTCATCAATTTATACTCCTTATTACTCTTCAGGTGAGTGAGTGAGAGTGGGTTTTAATTCTGTGAATCAAGCACCCAGGACTCCTGAGC